CTCACAGCAATCTCCAACTCCTGGGCTCAAGTGATTCTCCTGCCTCTGCCTCCCAAGTAGCTGGGACCACAGGTGCCTGCCACAACACCTGGCTATTTTTTGGTTGCAGCTGTTATTGTTGTTTGGCGGGCTTGGGCTGGATTTGAATCCGCCAGCTCAAGTATGTATGTGACTGGCGCCTTACCCACTTGAGCCACAGGCACCGAGCCTTATTTTTTTTTGAGACAGAATCTCACTATGTCACCCTTGGTGAGTACTGTGACATCACAGCTCACAGCAATCTCAACTATTGGACTCGAGATCCTCTTGCCTCAGCCTCCCAAGTAGCTGAGACCATAGGCACCCACCACAATACCCGGCTATTTTTTTGTTGCAGTTGTCATTGGCTGGCTGGCCTGGGCGAAGTTCCAACCAACCGCCGAGGTGGCAGTTTTTTTAAGACGTGGAAGGTGAGACGTGAGGGCTGAGGCCACAGCTACCCCACTGTGCGTATATGGCAATTTTTTATTTTTTTTTATTTTTTTAAGGAGAAAGGGTCATGCTATGTTGCCAGGCTAGTCTCAAACTTCTGGCCTCAAATGATCCTTCTACCCTGGCCTCCCAAAGTGCTCAGATTATAGGGGTAAGCCAGAGCACCCAGCCAGTGTTGGTCCTTTAGATCATTTGTGTTTTGTCCTCCAAAAAATATTTCTTAACTTGCAAGACTATTTCACTCATCCAATATTCATTGTTTAGTAGCACTCCACTTAGAGGTGCAACAAAAGGGATTTAGAAAAGACTTGTGAAAAGTGGAATGTGGGCCAGGTGTGGGCCATGGTGGCTTACTGATGCCTGTAATCCTAGCACTCTGGGAGGCTGAGGTGGGTGGATTGCCTGAACTCATAGGTTTGAGACCAGCCTGAGCCAGAGCAAGACCTTGTCTCTAAAAACAGCCGGGTATTGGGATGGGTGCCTATACTCTAGCTACTTGGGAGGCTGAGGCAAGAGACTCACTTAAGGCCAAGAATTTGTGGTTGCTGTGAGCTGGGACACCATAGCACTTTACCAAGGGCAACAAAGTGAGACTCTGTCTCGAAAAAAGAAAAGTGGTATGTGAGTTAATTTACTTCCTATCTAAGTAATTGAGAAACATTCAAGCCCTTAGAATGTGTCATAGATTTGAAAGTAATTTTATTTCATAGTCTTTGATTTGAACTTGGGTCTTAGATGTTAATTTTTTCTTTATTTTTCTTTTGAGGCAGAATCTCACTATGTCACCCTCAGTATAGTGCTATGGTGTCATAGCTCACAGCAACCTCAAACTCTTGCGCTTAAGCAATTGTCTTGCCTCAGCCTCCCGAGTAGCTAGGACTACAGGCACCCACCACAGGGCTCAGCTATTTTTTTGTTGCAGTTGTCATTTAGCAGGCCCAGGTGTATATTATTTGTCAGTAAAGTACAGCCATATTAAAAATAAAAATTTTTCTGTGTGAGCAGTCTCCAACAGTATTTCTAGGTAATATCTTAATGTCATAACAGCAGTTATTAAAACTTAAAAAGATTGGCTCGGTGCCTGTGGCTCAAGTGGCTAAGGCACCAGCCACATACACCTAATATGGCGAGTTCAAATCCAGCCTGGGCCTGCCAAACAACAATGACAGCTGCAACCAAAAAAAAAAAAAAAAATAGCCGGGC